CTGTATAGTGTATATGTATATACCACGAAAATTCCAATTTCTGACCTTTCCGACCCAACCGCTGATAGGAGACCGACGGCGGCGAGTCGCTTTTTCAGGCGGGGATTAGCCAGTACCATCGATCACCCACCCCCTGCCACCTCCTCTTCGTTTCTTTCTCCCTGTCCCCTGGTGCAAAAGCCCCTCCCCGCCGGCCTTTGGCTCTCCTGTCGCACATACTCGAGGAGAAAAAGAGAGCGGAATGAAAGAAAGAGGAAAAAAAAAATTAAGAGAGTGAGGGAGGGTAATCCCTCTTTTTTTCCGACTGCTCTTCTTTTGTCGAATCCGACGCCCTCGTCCTCTCAGGACACACCGCTGCCTCGTCGTTGCTGAGAAAAACAGACATCGCCGAAGGGGGGGGGGGAGGAATTGGACGATACGAGGCAAAAACGAGGCCTCGAGACGAAGCTCCGTCCCTTTTCTCGCGTGCGTGAGCCTCATCCTTCACCCTCTCCCGGTCCTTTGACTTTTCCTTACGTATATACCGTATCACTCTTGTATTACAGCTGGCATCGTTTTTCTTCGTGCCTCTATACACCACTCATCGCGCGATGTGTCCTCTTTTGCTATTTGTCTCTTTTTTTTTTTTTTTTTTTCCCCTCTTCCCCACCATAACACATCTGCTACACTTTCGGAATTGACTCTCATTTTGCTTCGTCCCTCCTGCTCCGCAGGTAAACATTAATTGAACCAAGAAAAAGAGAGAGAGAGAGAGAGAGAGAGTGTGTGTGGGTGGTAAGGGAGAAAATAATAATTCCCAGACCTTTCCCAGAAGTGAAAACCCATAAAGTCTACTTAAACCTACGATCGAACGCACTCGCGAAGCTCTAGAGAGCGTATACGTTATATTACAGCCGTGTGTGTTTACACCCACCGTACTTTATATATAATATATCTCCTCGTTCGCGCATTCTATTCGCATCACCGTATCCATACATTAATTAAGTATACCTAAGATGCACGGCGTACCTGTGCGTCGGTTACACCTCATGTACTTTGAAACGTGTGCGTATAATATAGGCCTGACTTTGTACACCCCCACACCCTCTCTCTCTCTCTGTGTTTTTTCGACTCCAATGCATATTGATAATGGTATGTAGTGACACGTTTGCCTCTACGTCACGTAACATAGGTATGTACAAATATATATCATCGAAAGGGAACTTTGTGTGGTCAACGGTAATGATAATCATGATAGCAATATATAGTAATTTGTCTGTCGCTCCGCCCCCTTATTACCTAGTGATATGCTCGATTGAGAAAGACGTTAATAGCAGAGAAGCCGAGCACGAGGCAGCGTAAGAGCCTCTGCCGTTGGTGCGAGCTGGCCCCGCTGTGGCTCGACTCGTCGTCGTCGTCGTCGTCGATGTCGTTGGCCAGATCGTCCGTGGCGTCGTCCCCGTGCTTATTCTTCTTCTTCTTTTTTTTCTTCTTCCCCAGGTGATCGGGCCGTTTGCGCGAGTACGTGGCGTTTGTCGAGTTGGTCGGCGACTCCACGTTGCAGTAGCTCGTGTCGCAGCAACTTATGCAGATCTGCAGCGGATGAGGAAAAGGCTTACTTCTTTTTCAACTAGTTCATCTTTTTTTTTTTTTTTTTTTTTTTTTTTTTTTTTCGAGGGAAAATCGCGCGCGCATAGGTATAACCTTTGTCTTTTACACGTGTATGTATCAGCCAACGGGGAAACAAGCGTACCCAAGTAGTACGAGTCAGCGTTTGGTCGGACACGCGCTCGGGGTCAATTTTTCGCTCGGGGCGCCCGTCTTTCGAGAACTTTGGCTCGCCAGCGTGTAGAGGTGTATATACTTTCTAAGCCTTTCTCTTTCTCTCTCTCTCTTTCTTGGCTCGGGAAAATTACAGAGCGCGTCGCGTGGGCGAGCGGGTGGGTACGGCCAAGTCGTAATTAAGAAGTTAAGTGAGCACCGAGTCCGTGGGAAGGAGGTGAGAACGGAAGAATCGGCTTTTCCCGGGATTTATGTTAATTGGAAAACCCGACGAAGAGGAAAGGAAACACGCTTCTTTGTACCAGCCAGCCGAGGAACGCTTTTCTCACCCCCCACCCCCCCCCACCGTGTGTATACATATATACATGCACACCCCGAGCAATTACGGGTATCGACGAGTCCGACAATTCGAGTGATATTTGAAAGGAATAACAACGCACCGAGTGGCTTTTCTACAGCGCTGCTCTCAGACGTGGGCGCAAATCGTTACTTCAAGGATTTTCTCAACAAAGGGCATTTTCTTTCTTCTTCTTTGGGCCGACACAATTGTTCGTTCATCACTACAGCAGATACGTTTTGTACATTTTAAATACTTTGGGGTTTTTTTTTCTTTTTATTTCCGTATTTTTTGTTCAGACAAAATTACGATTGTTAAGTAAAGGTACTGTGGTATGAGTCGTGCGTTGAAAAACAATTTTTTTTAATACGAATAAAAACTATTCGTGTCCGTATTCATCGTACGACGTGTAGTAGAGCCGAGTTTGGAGGAAAATGTATTTTCCACTCCCTCGCTGGCATTTATTGGCTTTGAATCGGTGATTTTTCCCCCGATTGGAGATCAGAGCGAGCGAGCGAGCAACCGAACAAATAACCATAGATGCGCCGGTTCGCTTGCAAAATTTATTTAAACACACAGGCGCGCGGAGACGCGAACTCAAATAGCCCGTACCCGTGGCGCGAGATATTGGAATATGCAAAATCCAGAAGCCTCTCCCCCGCTCCCTCCAAAAATTATGCGGCTACGTCTAAATTTTTTAAAGCAAAACCTTCCCGTGCACATCCGCGAGAGATGAAGAGATAAATTTTCCTCGTGAATTTAAAAGAAGAAAAAGCCACCCGATCTCTTTGTCCGTGTACTTGTTATACGCTCGGATGAAGAAAGAACAAAAAAAAGAAAAAAAAAAAGAGGCGCAGCTCAAGTTGATTAAATACGATCTCTCTTTTCCGCGCCGGCGAGCCCGCCTCCCTCGCCCACGTTATACATTACTTTTGTCGTTTTCACCGTCGCTTTGCAGCATGTAATGGACAATGGATTTACACGCTCGTTTTCAAATGTTAACGCAGTACTGCTCAAAGAGATGAGGAAAAAAAAAGAAAGAAATTGATCAGGCACGAAAATTGAAAAATAACATTTCCAACTGAGGAAAGAAGCAGTACGAGTATAGATGATCATTACACAACCATCTACCCCTAAATCGCGACGATAGCATCGCCAAGTGCCCAAACGCTTACATATATTCCCTGTCTAACGTACAATCTCCAGGCCCCAACTTCCGCGCGCACGTATTTGGTCAAGCTAATCGCCGTGCAAACCACTAACTTCATAATTAGACTGGCTCACCGGCCTAATCCTCGGTAACACGTACCGCTCGAGGCACCTATTTTCGAGCTGACGTGTTGCGCAAACTCGTGTTGTTTCCTCAACGGACAACACACTATGCATGATACGGAGGGAGGGGGGGGGGGTGGAAAAAAACACGCGTATCAAAGTTGTGTACGATTGAAAAAAAACAAAAAAAAAAAAAAAAAACACGGCTATCTCCTCGTTGGGGTTGTTTGCTCGAAACGGGTGATACAACGAAATAAACGAGATCCTTTTTCCTCCCTTTCGCGATATGGAAGGGAAACAATGACACGTACGGAGGAACTCCTCGGTTTGTTTACCTTGTCAAAGGGAGGTGCGTTTTCTTTTTCAACTCGCGCGCTAATATAGTGCACGCATATATACAACGTGAAGTGCTTGGGGGGGGGGGGGGGGAGACTAATACACGGCGGTGTCGCGTTGCGCTCGGCGGTGTCGAATTACCGATACTTGAATGTATCGGTTCGAGCGTTGCCGCGGCCTTCGTGCAATAGTTGCAACCATCACCGTGTTATTACGGGGTGTACCCACTGTAAATCCAAGTTGGGTGTTGAAGTACAACGTTTTAATTTTTTGTTTTTTATAAAGCACACCGTGGTAACGTGGATAAAAATTTCAAGGACAACCATATTATATCTATGGTGCACCAAGTGGTTAACCAGTTCCATTAAACGAGACACTTTTTAACGGGAAAAACTACATGGAAAAACTAAAATGGGAAAATTTTACTCTTTACAATCTCGTTATGTCAATCGTTGATCAAAACTATTATTTAGTTTGATAGAATAGGTGAAACAGTTGACGAAGCATCGGTTTGATTTTTTTAAAACAAGTTCATCAAGGTTACTACAACGCGTTGTATGAAAAAACAGAAATTTTAATTACACGCTTGAAACGCATGTACTTTAAAACGCACTTGGATATTACAGTTCGGTTAAAACAGTGTAGACGCCTTCGCTGAGAGTTATTCGCCGGACGAAAAAGGTGCGCGGGCTCTCACGGGCGTCTTTTTCACCGAAGCGCGCGAATTTGAAATTTTAATGCTCGCTCGGTGATTCACCCCTCGGCGAGCACTTTCGCCCGCAGTTTTTTCAATTCGCGCGGCTCCTGTTTATCGATTAAGTCGCTCCGCTGGTGCCATTTTACTTATACCATTAAACAAACCCACTGGCATCCCATCGTATCCGCAGCGCAAAGGAAGTAATCACAGCGCGGGGGGAGGGTGTGAGCCCAAACGAAAATACATCAAAGGACGTATACACACACCTGTACGTATTAGTCGTACAGCGAAAACGGGACAGCGCAATCGTGGGAGGGTGCCCATTGGGGAGTTTATTTATGCGCGCTTTAAGCGCTTCGTGGGGGGAGGGGGGCTTTTAAAAGCAGTTTTGTATACGCGTGTGGGGGCGCGTCAACGTTTGCGGGGTGTACTCGTAAGTATATATATACGTGACGTACGTACCTTTTGCGTGTCGACGGGCACACAGCCGACCGAGGCCGGACTGCACTCGTTTTTACTGGCGCAGCTCTTGCTCACCTACAACCACACGAAAATTGTCCGTGATAATGAGCGTTGGCCCGCCGGGCTGGTTCGGTACTACTGTTATTATCGCTTGAGCGGCATTAGGTATACATAATATATATATACACTACAGCCACGGTTCGATTTCAGTGCCAGCTCTTTTTTTTTTTTTTTTTTTATCTCTCTCTTCCATTGTACAGCGCCCATCCTTGAAACACTTGTAACTTTGCGGGATGATAATTGAAATCGATACGTGCAGATGTACGGATGGATGGGGAAATTAATGCTCCGAGACGTTGGCGCGGACGGCGATGTGTAACAAATTTATGGAAATTTAACGGGGCTCGTATAAAAATACCGGCGCCGGACAATTAATTTTCATCAGGGTCTTTTGTGACGGGCAAAAAACCCCCGGGGGGGGGGGGCTCCCCGGCGCCTCTGTATCCCGAAACCATAAATCCTCCTCAAATAGCCCGTACCCGTGGCGCGAGATATTGGAATATGCAAAATGGTACACACATCACCAGCCCGTCCGGAGCATCACCATCAGACGAAAAGTCAACGTCGACTGACCATCCCTGCAGCGTCTAGTGTTTAAGCCTCCCTCCTCTTGACTCCCACACATTCGGACGCACAAAGAGGCAGACTTTTTTTTTTCTCAGCAAGCGGTGTGTGCCCCCGCGACTCTTCCACTCCACCCAAGCACTCTGTATACGAGCGGACGCGAGTGTGGACCGACTCTTTTTTTTTTTTTTTTTTTTTTTGTTTCACTCCGCTCACCCGCTGTAAAACCCCCTTGTACCATTCACTCTTTGCCATTGCGCGGACGAGCTCAACACAAAACCGAAAAAAAAAAAAAAGAAGAGAGAAGAAGTGATCTCCACCGGCGCCGTCAAAGGCTCGCGCGAGAAACATCTCTTGCCCTTTTTCTCCCTTCCGCACCGTGTGCTGGCACGTACAACACACACACACACACACACCCACGCACATACATTATGCACACGCGGCATGGGCTCGTCTGATGCTTTCCCTCCTGATGTTTGCCTGCTTGGTTTGGTGTATGTCTATATATATATATATATATATATATACNGATAAAACCCGAGCGCTGCTCGTTTTCCCGGGAAACGGCAAAGTAACGCTGAATGAGAGTAAAATCGCGCGACTCGGTGAAAACTTGTGAAAATTGTGAAAATTGTGCTTGAGGCGTGAATTATTTTGAATGAAAAAAAAAAAAAAAAAAAAAAGAGAGATAAAGAACGTGCTTCGGCGCACCTGCCAAGCTCCGAAAGAAGAAGACACCAATTATTTTTAATACACATTAATCATCTCGGCCGCGGAGCACGAAGTAAGCGTCTTCTGGCGCGGAGATCGCTGGCTCGTTATTTTTCAAAATTTTTCCGCAGTCCGAAGGACAGAAAATATTAACAATTTCGAGGGTAAAGGAGTCGGGTACCCTCGAGGCTAAAAAAAAAAAGAGCTCGCGCGCGCTTTATAGACGAGTGGGGAAAAAAAGGGTGGGGGGAGAGGAAAAGAAGAAAGGCACAATTCGTGCTAGAAGCAGATAGCGGAAAAAGGGTGATGAGGAGGTCAGAGGAGAAAAATAGCTACACGACTTGATGGAAAAAAAAAAAAGTGGCTATTATAATAAAGGAAAGGTATGCTTGCCAAGACACTTTGCCCGCGACTATCCAAAATGTGCAGGGATCGACAGAAATCCCAGCCACCGGCGGGACAGGGGGTGTCTATGGCCCATTCGTTGCACATCTGCAATGCCAAGAAGATTACAAGTTTATAATATATATATATACACGTGTACAAATTTGCCTCGTCATATTTCTTCATTGCACATTATATATCTCAAGTACAACGGTGGCGGACACATTTACGGGCATATACGACACGCTCGTTTATGAATCTCATACGTTTTGTACCGCAACATTGAATATACACATTACATTCCGTGAGTGATTGTCGTGGCGTATATATTTCACGGTGTACTAGACAAACAAGGCCCAGATGGATTTTTTTTTTTTTAATGAAATTTCATCACCTCAAATAAAATTTTAATTAAGGAAAATAGAGGGGACATTTCTTTACACGACAATTTTTCTTTTGCTCTACATTTTATGTTCATATGTATACATGTTAAGCCGCTGTTGCAAAAGAAACGTGCTAGGAAAATAACGCGATGCCAGACGAGGGTCATTTTTTTTCTGCACACAAAGGTATTTCCATTTTTCATTTTTTTTTCTTCATTCTTTTTGTGTTAAAGGAGAGTAAAACTTTGACATACTTGGTCCTTGAGACAAAAAGAATCTCACATTCTGTGATGTTACAATATTATTGTTGCAACAAATACTTTAATAGCTGATCACTGATTTTTAGGATCTATTATTACGGCTTTACTTGTGCACGTAACGAGATAACATTTAATGTACGAAAGTTCAATACGAATCAATGACCTGCGGCTGTAAAATCCTCCGAGTCACGGCGATCAATGGTTAGTATAATTATACCTCGTTTCGAAGGCTAAATTTAAATCGTCCGTAACTTTCGACCCGACCAATAGTTTTTAGCGGAGCCATGATTGTATTAAACTCTTTCGATTTTATTTCCAATAGATATTCCAGCTTTACTAATTAACAAAAGACCCTTTTTTTCTTAGGACATCTTTATCCAGGGTTGAATTGACCAGGGTATACGGATTTTAGCGGTGTGCCATGTCCATAATACGATTTTCCGGAGATTTTTCAACATATTATACATGTGGTGGTAAATGCGATTAAGTCAAGTGCCAAAAGAGATTTGGGAGCAATTAAAATTTTGAGAATTTCCAAAAGCGAGCATAATTATGCATGTATCTAATACGCCGAGGTTACATTATAGTATATATAAGTGTACCCCACACATTAACTATTCAAATGAACCCATTCAATTAGCAAGTAGAGCTTTTTTTTTTTTTAAACTCAGTCTCATTTGACTCCGACTTCATCGCGGTTTTGCACCACTGCTGTATAAAGAGCGAATGCAGTTTTTCGAAAATTCCCCTCGTTTTCGCTCGCACGTAATTACACCACTTTTTTTTTTGTTGTAAGAAAAAAAAAAAAAAAAAAAAAACGCGCGTTGCAATTACCAACGTACCTACACGTACGCGTGGGTGGGGGAAAGGTAAAAAACCAAGAGTTCATACTCGCCTTGTTGTCGCTAACGTTGACGCAAGTGTAGCAAGTCAGACCTGCGAACAGAGAAAAAAAAAAGAGAGGGAGAGATGAAGGAAACAATGATCAAAAGTACAAACGAGCAGGGAAAAAAAAAAAAAAAAAGTAGAGAGAAAGAAAACCACGAAAATCAGAGAATCGCGAGTTCAGCGTGCCAGGGCGAATTACAAGGCTCGATGAAAAGTTAATCAGCTAATTGATCGGTCGAGCGTGCCAATGCGGCAACCGAGCTTGTGAAAACTATAATATATACGTGTACAGGCAACTGCAGGAAGCAACATCATCACCATCATGAGGCTCACTCGGTAGCGGCTCATCCGAGCACATGCACATCACATAATACGAGAAAGCAGCTGAGCCAACCGAGCGAAAGAGAGACGATGCGAGGATGGGAACGAATAACGGAGCATTAGGGTGGAAAAAAAAAGCCCACGCCAGCACATACAACGTGGATATACCTGCCTAAGTAAGCATGCGATGTGGTATTATTATACGTAGTAATGACTACTATTGCGACTACAACTACTGTACAAAGGTATATATGTATATATATATATATATAACGTATAATGTATAAGCAACAACACACGAAGAGACGTACGGTAGACATCCTCCTCGTCGGTGGTGGTGGTGGTGGTGGTGGCTTTGGCGGCGGCTGCCGAGTTGGTCGCGGCTTTATCGCCGGCACCACCCGAAACGGCGGCCGCCGAGGGCCCGACTATCGCCGTGGCGTTCCCGTTTCCCGGTGATGCCGCGGACGCCGATCCGTTTTTCCCGGTTTTCGCGGACACGGCATTGCTTTTGCCGCGATCGCACGCAGACTCCGTAAACAAAAGCAGTCCGACCATCAGCCACGTGATCATTCCTCACATCCTCTCTGTGGAGGGGACAACAACAGAAACAATTATCATTTTTTCGGGGGCTGCAACATGTTCCTATATACAGGTATGTACAATCATTTGTATGAGTATCTCCTACCTATACGTACAAGCGCGTGTTGTTTCTTGTTTTATCGCGTGGCCGACTTTTTATACCTTTCATCTCTCCCGGGGATATACCTATATATCTTTTCTGTGTATTTTGTACTTATATGCTGCACTTATAGTATACGAAGGGGGCGCGTTCACTTGGACGCTAACGACACATTTGGAAAATTGCCGTGCAAGTTTTGTTTGCGGTATACTTAGTATCCACATGGGTACGTATGGACGATATGAGAGCCGATAAGTTATTGATCGGTGCCATGCACAATGTGGATTGTACTTGTATTTTTAATATCAATATGGAGCCACGAATGAAGAATCAAAAAAAATAAAATAAAATATACTATATTCGTACTTGGTATATTTCGACGTATGTAATTATGACGGTGGGTACATGATATATTAATTTGTACGCATCAAAACAATCATTTGGTTTGTTTGTGTTTTCATTGAAACCCGTGAGATTGATGTGCCTATGTACATACGATATTTTATATAAAATACAAGTATGTATACGCATATATGGGTTCGCACTATACCCCCTTTCAATCGACCGATTCGGCGTTAACTCGTGTGCGCCCGCATTCGATATCATAAAACCCCCCTCCCCCCCCCGGCCCTTTGGATTAAATGCCGAAAGTTATACCCGTAAATAAGTGGCGCACGAACGCGGTCGGGAATTATCGATTTTTGGCCGTTTTGTGTGCCCGTGTGTTGTACGCGTATACCGAGGGGAGACTTCCACCCCCCACGGAGGACACTAAATCTAATATTCGCGCTTTAACCGCGCACCTGTTGATTATCGCAAACAGGGCCATTTGGCCATTTTTTCCCTTTCTTTCTTTGTCGCTTCTATTGCCGCCATGCTATTGTTTTGTTTTTGTCCCTCTTATACTTTTGCGAGCGATGCCCCTCTATATACGTACCATTTTTTGCTTCGCGATGAGCCGTGAAACGTGTAAATTTTTAACAAACCCGCGACTCTAATTAAAGTTCCGTATACGTATAACACGTGCTTTCTCCACCCCCGTTGTATACCTAGCTGATGAAAATTGCACACAATACGCGTGTTGTAAAGTACATGGTGGCATCAAGTGCAAATAAGCAAAGCCAAGGGACTCGTTGTGAATTCATTAGGTCCTTAATTAAGTAATTCTCGCGTCAGCTATTAATAGTGTACGTTTACTTCGCACAAGTATATATATGCGTGTGCTCGCAAAGAGGGTGAATTAATCACGAGTGCAACTGATAAAATGTATTATTGTTGAATTTGCATAAAGTTATTGTACCCGCGCCCATAAATGCGTGGAGAGAGATTTTAGGTGTACGCGAGCATAAAAAACAAATAACTCACCGGTAAGATCGTTTACGTTGGTCTGAACCGCTACTCATGAGAGCTCGCCACCGGGTAATATCGCCCTGTCGTCTTTGTCGTTCTCCGTGTAGTGGTGAGCTTTGCCGCTGTTGCCACTATGCCATTTCTCATCTCCGCTGGTGCTCCCCTCGCCCCTCCCTTGTGTGTGGCTCTCTTATTCGGTCTTTGCTGCGTCGCTACGATACTCGTCGTGCGCTACTACAACACACTGAGCTGCCGCTTGCTGGCGCATTAGTGCATGCCATTACCGATCGTAAGAGGTATATATACCTATACGCGGAGCAGCCAAAACGTACACGGCAAACAACGCAACGCCCACGCGTGCACGTATACATATAATATGTACTGTGTGTGCTTCTATACACCTAGACCCGTGCCCCAACTATCAAATGCCGCCTCCTATTTATTCTCGTGGTTTCGCCCTCGTGCATCATTCCCATCGAAGACCGCTGTACAGCCGATGTACGGATTACTCCTTGCTTGTGTACTGCAACAAATCAAGTGACGTTTTTTTTTTCTCTTTATTTTATAATCTCTTGGGTTTCCTTTTTTTTTTTTTTTTTTCACCCCTTCTCTGAGATTTATTTTGGGTGCTAACGAAGTTTATATAATCAGCGGAGGTGGTTACGAGTCGCGATGAATAAATGAGCGAGGGGGAGCGTCGAGACTGCGAGCTTAACGATAAAAAGGTGCCATTGGGATGAATTTTATCAATTTTCTTTTTCTCCGACAAAATGAAGAGTAACGTAGATTTTCGTCGACTCTAAAAAGCAAACGTATCAACAAAACGGTAAAAGGAAACGTCTATCATTTTTTCGCGCATAAATTTAGCCGTATCCGTTTATTTATGCATTTATTTGCTCGTTCATTGGGTTCGAGCTTATATATAATATATACCGTAGTTAAAACCCCAGTGTTGCCCTGGGCGTAAAACACCGCTCGTGTATATTTTACTACGACGCCGGCCCGGTCGATATTTCCCAGAGCACGTTTCGCTGTTCCATTAAAATGTGAATAATTTAATTGCCCAATAAAAACCTCTATTTTAGATAATACCTATATACCTACTGAGACTTTTAGAGATGAAGAAGAAAAAAAAAAAAAAGAAATACATTATCGTGGTGGGAGCTACATCACGTGTAATTGTGAGCGATATTGTGGGTATACCCGGATGTTAAGTAGAAAATTTCACGCGGCGCGCTCCTGCACGCGGGGGATGACAATATTTCATCGGCTTCGGGTGAAAACAAGCAATTACCACTCGATGCGACAATTGGCGGAAAATTGTTCCGTCGCGTGTGTACTGTTTTACTCGGGCGATGGGCCGAAAGGTGAATATCGGACGTTGTAAAGACTCGGGATGATTTTTTTTTTTTTTTTTATCCATCAATCACTTGGAGGTGAGGTACACCACGTGCTTGTACGGATTCTTATTTTAAAGATTTGCTTTTGGTGCTGAATCTCGAAATGACTCGTATACCCCCGTTACTCGGGAGCACCGTTATATTTTTATTGTTTATAATTGTCGAGATCACGTCGAAGCGTTTGCCAATAGCCAATCTAAACCGCCGGCACGTATACGGTTTTTATACGCGCCCAATCACCTGGAACGTGTATATTTTTATTTTTCATTTTCCAAACTGCGCAATGTTTATTCGACGGGTCAATCAATCTCACGTGAAATTCAATACGTGCCTTATGCACGAATTTTCTAGCTTTATTCAACTTAATTGGGCAATTTTTGAAGGAAAAAAAAAAGAAAGTACACCCATTCATTAAATTAAATAGCACTGCGCGCGCCAATTAACTGGGTAATCAGGGGCTGTAAAGAAGAAGGAGGGGAAGAAAAAAAAAAATAGCGTAACAAACGAGTGCGCGATAAACTCGCAAGTATACGCTCGAGAAAAATCGCGTTTTCTCCCCGGGATAACCAAATGTTGCACTCAACAGAACCGCTCACGCGTGTGTGGACCATCAAGAAGTTTCATATTTTAATTTAAATTCATATTTTATGGTCGTAGGTTGAACCGTTGAAAAATCAGTGGATTTCGCGGATCGCCGTCGTGGTATTTTTTTTTTTTTTTTTTTTTTTTTCAATTTTTGCGTGTCCGATTAAACGGGTCACTGCGTGCGAAAAGCACAACAGCTTTCGGCCCGCGACTCCGCCAAGAGCCATTAATCTCTTTTCCAGTGTATGGACTCCACGTCGTCGGCAGCACCGCATCGTATCGCGGGCAACTTTACTCGTCTGCGAGCACAAGTGAGTATACATCATACGCTGGTGAATTTCAAAAGACGTTTAAAAAAAGGGACAACGAACCGATGTACCCACTTCTCTTCTTCTTGTCTTACAAGTACCTCGGCAGGTATGATTTAATCTAGAACGAGCATTTTTTTTTTTTTTTTTTTTTCCAGAACAAAGCTTGAAGACGTACGAAAATCAACACACGCATCAGCTATTTTTTATACACATACATATACGTTTAAGGATTAATTTGGCAAAGTTTCGCGACAGAAACGCGCGGAAGGAAAAGCCAGAACGCGAGTGGTTATCGAACAACAAAAACAGCGAAAAACGCCAACATAAATCGCGAGCCATTCGTTCACGGGTATACCTACATACGTATATACATATGTACACAGTAGCGAGAGAGAAGGAGAAAAATGTCAGCGCATTTGTACCGAATCGTCATTCCCCTCTTCTTTTTTTCTCTCTCGCGAATTCTCGGCTATCGATTATTAAAGGGAATTACGGGGACATCCAATTTAAAGATATATATATATATACACAAAGCCCGAAGGAAAGGCAGATGGCATCTATATGTATGCTATATGTATATAATATGTATGCTTTCGGGATCCTATAAACTTTCTCGGGGGAAGAAGTTGCAGCAAGAGATAGCCATCAATAATTCCTTTTAATAATACAACCCCCTCCCCTCTCACTCTCTATTCCTCCAACTCTCGAACTCGAAGCGTTATAATCTCGGGGTATAGAAATAATAACGTCGAGCGAGAGCTACAAAAGGAGATGTACTTACTCCTTGCGTATGAAAAAAAAAAAAAAAAAAAAAACAATTTTTGCCTCTTTTTTTTTCTCTTCTCCTAATCTCGACGTATACGAAAGGAGCAAAAAGATGATGAGAAAAGCTCGAGATGATCGATACAAACATATATTACATACAAGCTCTGCAGCTACGTTGGCGAAAAAAATTCATCATCGCATCCACAAATACATATAAATGTATGTCGCGAAAAAAAAAAAACAAAAAAAAACGTCCAAAATGTTGGTTTGTGGGAGTGCATTTTTTCCATCCCTTCCCTTCGTGTTTTATTAATCACAGCAGCTGCGCTCGTCAAATTAAAAAAGGCCACGCGCGTCGACAAAGCTAAAGCCCCGTAATCTAAGGATAAAAAAAAAAAAATCTAAATCCACGTTCCAAGGGATGAATGGTACTTCGTTAGGACCTCGTTTGGAGCCATCAGTCACGGCACCGGCCCCGTGATCTCAAAAATTCGCGAGTTTCAAGCGCCCCATCGACCCGTGCACGTTTTCGCGCTCGTCGCGCGGGGCTACATCACAAGCCCATCGCGAGGGAAGAAGAAGCCGTAAAAATATCCCACCCCCTCGACGATGAGGAAAAAAAAAAAGGCACCGCGTCGTTATTCATCGACTCGAGGGGATTACGAAGAGACGGGCCGATATTACACGTGATGCCGGCGCCGACGATGACGATGCACCTCGACCGCGCGTCCAACCCCCTTGTTAAAAAAGAGAGAGGGAGGGAAGAAGAAGAAGAAAAAAAAAACACGAGCTCGGTAACCCCGTCCGTTTTCCCAGAGAGAGGAGTCGCCGATTACCATAAATCGCACTTTGGCCGCACGCCTCCCGGAGCCGCTCTTGTAACTTTCCCGCATGAATTTGATCCGAGCTCGTCTCCTCCCCCTCCCCTTCCGTGCTCCACAGCAAAAAGAAGCAAAGAGCTGTCCCCTACCCTCCTTTTTTTTTTTTTTCTTTTTGACCTCGTGTCGACCGCCGAGCAAGGAAGGAAGAAAAAAAAACAAAAGCCCGCTTGGAGCGAAAAGCTGACTGGAGCGCGGTGCTCGCACATGTCGCCCCGTATACGGAGAAAAGCTCGAAATGGATACTACGTCCATCGGCCACCTGCGGGCAGAGGGAGTAAAAAAGAGGGGAAGGTTGGAAAGGCCCGGGACCCACAGCCCGTGGGGCGCGGGTAAAGAATCGAGGGATCCCCTTTTTACGAGGCGAGTGAAAGGAAAGAAAAAACACACGGAGCCGCGAGATAACGCGTTCCGCGTTTGTCCGACGGCAGAGGATATACAGGAGAGATAAGGCCGTAGCGAAGAGTCACGCGGGGGTGGGGGAGGGGGGTGTCAACCAAGGGAAAATTCAATGGATGCGTCGATAGTGTGTGCACATAATTTACGAGGAAAAAAAATGATATCTAGCGGTGCCCTCCGCCCCCCCCTCCCCCCCGAGGCTGTAATAACCACTCACGCGGTGCAGGTTACACACATGCCTCCGTATACGAAATGCAACAATGACACATACGTACCTATATATGGCTTTGCAGGTGGTGGGATGATGATTTTTTCTTTTGTTTTGATAAACTGCGCGCAGCACCTTCGAGGTAATAGGTATACGTGTGCAGCCAGGTGCCGCGAGGATAGAAAAAGCCCACCCACGGAGGCGATGGACCAGCCAACGGCCGGAGCGGCGCACTCGATACTGGAGAGACAGACCCGGGCAGGCGCGCGGTGCGCCAACTCGATTCCCCTGCCACCCCGCGTGTTGTTGCTCGGCCGAGGGGGAGTCGCTTGCGCGCGCTCGTACGAAATTTAGCCCAGCATCATCGTCCGCAGGTTGAGATGAAAAGAGGCTGCACCGGGTGGGGAGGGAAAGCCGTGAGGTATTTATACCCAACGTGTGTGCGAATCAGTCGGGGAATCACTGGCGCGACTACTGGAATTAAGACCATGGGTATACACGCGGATCGTGGGCACGGGGTGCCACACACACCCCCTCCCATATAGTATGCAAGTATACACCGCTGCTGATTGGGGTTTGAGGCGAAAAGGGGGGGGGAGAGGATAAGCGGCCCGAACGCGGATGCTGGGAGACGCTTTCTCTGGCTGTATATCGAAGAGTCGACGACGCAGGGGGTGGAGGGCCGATGTTTTGGTCGCTTACCGAAATTAGGATGTCCAGCGGGGTGTATATGTATATGTATACCTAATACTCCGTCCTGTGCACCGAAACTTTGGCCGTGTTCTGCGGCCGGGCCGGAATTTCAATTCTCCTTCTCGCTCGCCCTCCGCTCCGGGGGGGTATGCTTATAGTACATGGTG